CTTGTTTCTTCTCAGCTTCATTTTCAGTGAATTCTCCTATATATTTCCCTTTGATACAGGGATATGTTTAAAAACAAAACAAAACAAAAAGACTAAGTTTAATGATCAGTATATTCTATGTACCAAAACAATATACAGGAAGCAGATTGGGGTATGGGCATTTAGAGGCTAATAGGTCTCTCTTGAAGACTTATGAGATATATTCTAATGTGATAACACTGAGCTCAGGTCATCAGGCAATCACATAAGTAGTCCTGGGAGGTGGGTCTGTGAAGCCTGGCAGTGTAATGACAGTCTTGCAGCGAAAGATAAGCCTGATGGAGGGATATGCAATGAATTGAAAGTAACCACAGAATCACAGAATGACTTAGGTCTTAAAGATCATCTAGTTCCAAACCCCTGCCATAGGCAGAGTTGCCACCACTAATCGGTCTGCCCAGGACCACGTCCAACCTGACCTGGATGTTCTTAGTTTGGGGAAGGTGATTAAGGGGGAGAGTTGTTAGTCTCCTAGGGACATCAGAGCACTGTAGGAGATGTGGAGCCAAGGCAGACCAGGAGTGATGGGAATCTCAAAGTATCACTGATGCTTTTGTACCTCAGGTGGGAGTTGCATTTTAGCTGTTTCCTGGCCTGTGCTGAGGGTCACCAGCACTGCCACATCCTGGCTGTGAAACACAGGCATGGCTTGTGGTTTTTCCAGTGTCTTTGTTCTGGGTTGGGCAGCCAGTGTGTAGCCACAGATGCAGTGGTGTCATGTGAACAACTTCTTTTTTTTTTTTTTTTCTTTTTCTGTTGGTATAGAGAAAGTTCTTCCTAACTCAAGTTTTTGTGAATGTGTTGAATGAAATGGTTATTTTCTTAAATTTAACGCTTGGATTCTCCTTCTTTGAGTTCTTGTGGTTAAAACTGTGCTACACTGAAGATCCATTTGAAGACAGATAACTCAAGCAAAAGATTCACTTTGAGGGATTTGGCCTGCTCCTCTGCTTCTGCTGTGTGCTTCTGAACAATCTGGAAGTGTAAATATGGGCCTGGAAAAAATAACAGTGAAGCTGGTTGACAGTATTCCAGCTCACATTAGGACTTAAGAAACATGAGCTTGTGCTATAAATCTGAAATTTGGGCTTGTAACCCCCTAATTTTTGACCTGATAAATCCTGTCACTCCCAGCAAGCTGTTAAGGTTCATCTCACTAAGTGCCAAGGATGCTTTAAATCCATGGATTATTTAAGTTATGCCCATGCCAAGGTTTAAAATAAGACTGCTAATACACGGAACGCACCAGCAGTAAAACCAGGAGTGGGTAGTGTGGGATCAGTTCAGGAGACATAGTGAAACTGGGCTTTGACAGCATTGGGGTTCTTCTCTGAAACGAAATTACAGGAAAATATTTTTGATGTAGGTAAACACCATGGTGGGGTAAGATTCCTTGCAGGAGGAGGTGTGGAAACTGTAGAAGAGAGGATTAAGCTGAACTTAGATTTTAAAAAAGACAGAGATACTCTAAGGATAGTGTGTGTAGTGATGCATGTACTTGTGACTCCAACATGAAGGTACTTATGTTCCTAAACACTGGCTTGAGAAGGATACTTGCCAGTGAACTCAGGTGGAGGCAGTAGCCAGCATATAAATTGATTAATTTTAATTACAGAAAGGGGCTGGATGATGAAATGAGCTGCAAGGCTCAGGAGTGTAATAAGCCAACTTCCACACACACAGCTAGTTGCTAACCTTGAGATAAAACTGCACCATGGAGCATTAGGAAGGCATGCTTTATACCAAGTACATTATAAGCACCCTAATGATGTTTTGTGTGTATGTGTGTATGTATATACACATGGATAGTTTTAAAACTATACATTTAGTTTTTTGTTTTAAGACCTTATTTAAGACCTGTATTTGTCTTGAAAGATTCTAAAAGTAGCTAAATTTGATAATAAATATGAATTGTTTCTTAGAAATGAAAGTTTGGGTGTAGGAATTTCAAGCTATGCTCCTTTGTATTTTCCTTGCAATTCCTAATGTAGAGGTGTCTGTAACTTTTATTTACTGCTTCTAACTCAGAAATGTAAGATAACTCAAATGCTTTCATGGCACAGCAGAAAGTTTAAGAAGGTCTTGAGAGATGCAGTATAAAGCTAGTAAAACAGGCACAGCTGGATGATAAAAATGAAAACAAAACCCAACATTTTCCAACAAGATGTAGTCTGGTTGTGGCGGGCTTGGGGATGAGCAGCATTTTTGCCTTTCTCAAAAGCTTTTCATGAAAGAATCCTTTTTTTTTTTTTAAAGCAGAGCAGTACACACATTAAAGCTTGGCTCCTCTAAAGAAGCTTTCTATAATATGATACAGAAAGTATTTGCATACTGTATGGAAATAGGTGGTAAAATTACCTGTGCTTTTGAAATGGATGTTTTGATTGTTGTGAGTCATAACTGCTTCGAAGGCACCACGTTATCATCTCAAGTTCAGTAAAATGCTTAAACTTAAAGCAAAACAGTTACTCTGAGGAGCTCCAGCTGGGGAGAACCTCTCAATTTTGCAAGGTGAGAGCAATGCAACTGAAGCAGATTGGTGCCATGGAGTGGCCACAGGAGATTAATGGGGTTAACCATTGTACTGAAATAACAGGACAGGTCTGGTCCAGTGGTATGACCTCCACTAATAAAGGCTTATAGGGACCAAACAGCTTGCAGAAATGGGATTAGAAGTGGTCAGCCAAAGCTGTAGCTACCTCGCTGCCTACCTGCCTTGCTCAGCTCTCAGGAGGCAGCAGGTGGTGGCCACCAGGGGTGGCTCCTGCCTCCCTGATGAACCTGAAGTGCATCATGATGGAGTTCCCCCAAAGCACTGATGGGAAGATAGGAATTTTTTTTTTAATTGCATTAAGGCACTGAACTAAAATGTTGGATGTAGGCTGTATGTTAATAGCGGTTGCAGCAGCTGTTTGGACAAGTGGTACAATGAAGTGGTAGGAAAGCCATTGCTCTAGGTATTGTATGGCAAAAAGAAATTGGTGCATGCATTCTGTTAAGAAAAATGTAGATGTTTAATTTTTTTTCTTCTGGAGGGAAAACACAAAGTGAATTTCCATTTCTTAGCAAACTACTACGTTTTGGGAATATTGAATGAGAAGCTCTAGAAAAAGCTTGTGTTTGCTTGGGTGACCTTAACATGTTATTTATTCTCCATTTGTACATCAGCCCTGTCTGTACAGAAGTAGTTTTGTGGATTTTCTGTGTTCCATGATTGGTTGTTGTGTGTTTTGTTTGTTTTTACCTTGAAACAATTTTAAAACTTCTACATTGCACATTGAAGTACTGAGTCTTCATTCTTTACTATTTCTTGATTTTTGTTTCTAATAGAACACGAACTTGTGCAGAAGTGATTTATTTCCCTAAATGGCAGCAGTTGGTGTGTTGGAGGCATGACACTGTGTGTTTACAGAAGAAACAGGAATGTGATATGTAAGGTTTTAAAACAAACATTGAAGGAAAGAGTAATTAAAAGCTCAAGGGACGAATGGCAACATAAGTTTATCCATAGGTAGGCTACGTCAGAGTGACTTTCTTTAATCTTGTAATGTGAGTTAGAATATGTGCATTGAGTTTATTAGGTCTTTATTCAAACAGTTGTTATGGCTTGAGGTGGAAAGAGTAGGAAATATGTTTTTCATCTATAAAGTAAAGGGATTCATTGCCGTTGTTAATGATGCCTACTGTGTTACTTAAAAGGTAATACAGAGTTGGGGTAAGATAGGGCTGGCTGTAAGGAGACCTGTAGCCGTGGCTTACCTATGGTCTCTTATGGTCTCTTATGACTGTGACTTAACCATGGCACTGAGCATACTCAGTTCTGTGAAAGACACTGTTTCCAACATCCTCAGGGCTATGGGTCCCAATGGTTTGGGATACTGTGAAGTCACTACAGGGATTTTGATTGTCTGGGAAAATGGCTTTACTTGCCAAAAAGAGCTTGTTTATTTTACTTAGGTGTAATTCTTCTGCCTTGTTTTTGCATTTTAAGCAGTGTCTTAACACCTGTAGGACTTTGACTTGTGGCCTATGTATTTGATTTGTGGCTTATTTTCCCACTGATGCTGATAGGATAGATGGGCTGAACTGCTTCCTTCTGATGCACACGAGGCCTGGTTCACGTTTCAAAAGCATGTCACTTAGTTCACGTGCATGTGTGGTTTTTTTCCCACCTCTACTACAGGATTTATGGACTGTGCTGCCTTTTCCCCAAAGGGGCTGTGAAGGGGGAGCTGTGTTTGGATTCATGTCTCACACTGTGCACTGGCTGTGGTATGTGTGATGCAGCACAGCTGTCAGAATGGAGACATTCAGTGCTGAAAGCAGTTTCAAGGCATCCAAACAAAGGGATGCAGACGTGGATCTGTGCTGCGAAGGTGCCCATCTCTGCTCTCTGCATAACTGCATTGTGCTTAATCACAAAAGTATCTGCTTGAATTGGCAATGCAGAAGAATTTAAGGCATGTTCTAATGTCTCATTTATGTCAGGATTCCTGCATATATTAAATATTTGGTAACTCTGCTGATGTGTTTGGGGGAAAAGGTGGAGGGATGTGGCTTGAGTAATACTGTGCAATTGGCAGTAAAATAGATATGCATCTGTCTGTCTTTACTCAGCAGTGGCAGGGCTGGAGACATAGGTGTCCCCAGGCATTGTTTTCCATAGCTCCTGGGGAGATTTCTTCAATGCAAATGCCTTCTGTGAGTGAGAAGTTGCCTATGTAGACAATAACTAATGTGTCAGAGAGTGCGTCACTGGAGATGGTGGCACATCCATTAGTGGGGACAAGTGGAATTCATCTGGCTGGTTCTTCAGTTCAGCTCTTACTGTAGATCTTGTAAGATGAAGGAAGACTTCGTAAATGACCTGGAATCACTGCCAGAAAAAGCTGAGTAGAAGATAGCTTTCTAGCCCCTTTTGAAGTAACTTATGTGTTTAATCATTGTTTTTTCCCCATCAGCAATTGCTTTGTTCAGTGAGGAGGGGAAGCCCAGCAGCTCATTGGCCACTCAAGCAGCTGCACTGATCTGGAGGCCTGCTTCTGGCACTCTGCACTGAACTGAGACTCTTCATGTTGAAATGAAGAAACTTTCTTGGAAATGTAAGTTTCAAGGCAGTTTGGAATAAAAAGAGACTTTTTTTTTTCTTTTATGTACCTGATTCCTTCAGATACGTGCTGTTAGAAGTATGGTCAACATTGTGATACATCAGCATGCTTAAATGTTATCCATAAGATGTATGTGGCTAAGTACAACTGCTTTTCATTAGTTTCTTGCTCAACTCCTGAAAAACATTAATATTGAGATACTCTATTCCAACAACTTTATTCTTCTTAATGCAAAAGTTCAGAACGTATGGAGAAGTGAAATGAAGAATAATGTGCATCATGCTAGAGCAGAGCAGAACATGATGAAGGTATTGCAACTCAGGAATGGTGGCATGGTTGCTGGGGAGGGTGGCACTGGAAAGTGTTTTAACACGATAGCAAACTAATGAGCTGTATTTATAAACATAAGTATGTTAAATATGCATATACATATGATCATATACATATGATATTAGTTACTGATGGTGTTAAACTCTTATTGTTAGAAAATCAGTGTGTGGGACACTTGATTGTAGAAGGGTTCCTTTCTGCTTAGTGCTGTTAACTGAGGACATGTATATTGAATAATTAAAATAGTGTGGGAGAGGGGTTGTTTGCATTACTTTTATACTGTGCAGTGTTGGGATGGCTGCAGTTTATCTCTGTCAAACATGGAGATGCTAATGGCCTTCTTGACTCAAACAGAAATTGTATAAGTGAGTACTTCAAAAAATCTTATCAGCTGTTAAGATAAAAGTTATGCTGTGGTTAATGTGAATTGCTGCTGAAGGAATAATGAAGAGAAGAAAAATGGAACATAAGATACTGTTTTAGCTCAGCAGCTGTGGTCTCTATGATAAAGGCACATAAATCCCTTCACATGAAACAAACCACAGTTTAGGAATTCTTTTAAATATTTTAGCCTGTTTTGATTATATATTCCTATTAAAAATACTTTGAACTCTGAAAGGAAGTTTTCTTCACTCTTCCCAATGCTCTGTGAAGTCCTCTGAGGGAAAAGGAAGGGAGTGTTCAGAAAACTATTTCTGACATTAAATGGCTTCTGAAATGCTGAGTGGATAAAACCTTGAATTTGTATTTTGGGAGTAGGCGTTTGCAGGGCAGGAAAGGTTTTATTTAGAAGTGTATGGTCCATGCAGAGGCATGGAAGTGTGTATGGGTCTGGGGTGTCCATCAGGCTCCAGCATCAATCCCTGGCCTCACTCTGTGCCAATGGCAGGGATTGGCAGGGTGCTGTTGCCTAGCTTGGGACTGACTGCTCGGCCACAACCCATCTCCGGTGCTCCTTTCTCACCCTGCATGCTGTCAAGCTGAACAAATTCCAGTGTTAGTGGAGCTTGTAATCAATTAGGCACAAGGTGAAAAGGATAAGAAAGAAATACAAAAGGCAATAGCTGAGTGTGAAGCATCAGCAGGAATTCATTAAGGGCCATGTGATTGATGACTGCCCAGCATCTTGTTTGTGTCTGAGCAAGCTGTGCCAAAGCCATCCGTTGCATAGGCTGCACACATTAAATTTGTTTTTATCCCCACATCTAACTATTTGAACATCCAACTATGTTCTCTACTTCTATAATAACCCAACCTGTATCACTGCTCTCACCCATGTAGAGGTTTGTTTCACTCTCACCCCCCAAGAATTTCTGGTCTAAAAATTCAGACTAAACTTGTTTTTTTCAGGTCTTTTAACTTCACCCTTATTTAGTTTATATCAGCAATTTTGTACAGCTGTGTGAGGAGTTGTGAACACCTCTTACAGTTTGCACTCAGTAAGCTTTTTTCTTCAAATTTTTAAAGAAGGCAAATGTGAAGTGTGTGAATCAGACTCCAGAAATGCTTCTGTAGTGCTTGCTGTGGCTCAGTGTGATAGGGGAAACAGAATTCTGGAGGGGAAATCTGTCATTATGGTAGCAGGAATAATTTCTCATTGAGACTTGCTATTCACATGCTGCTTTTATGCTTCCTATTTCAGTCTCTAAAAGAGTCTGTGTATTATATGGTGAACTAAATGGCTTTTTAATAAGCTCATAACTACTGTCTCCTAAACTCTGTAATTTAGACACTTAAGTGAATAATAGCACATGATAGCATGTTGCCTTCAGTTTTCCATACTCTAATAGAGGGCAATGATGCACAAATGTATAGTTAATTAGGTCTTAATTTTCAGTTCTTTGCAGTCCACTTTGTACAGATATCTTTATTTGTATTGCACTGCAGTTGAATCACTGGAATAGTCTGAGCAGTTAGACTATCTGATTATGATTGCAGATCATGTAGAGAACAAATTGCATTTGCTTCTGAACAGGACTAACCTGGCACCTCAGTAGAGAGGGATTTGCCAATGTCTTGGGTCCTTATGGTGGATGGGATTTCATGTTCTCATTTCTAGTGCTTTTCTTCATTCTTCCTTTTTTTTTTTTTTTTTTTCCCTTTCCCAAGATTCTTCTGCAGTGAAATGTTGAATAGATGTCAGATACCTATTTTCTTATTGATTATATTATTATTATTATTATTATTATTATTATTATTATTATTATTATTATTTTAATATATATTATCTTATTATTCCCATTGTCCTGCTTCTTACAGGCATAGCCTTTCATTACAGCTGATGGGTAGATTTTCTGCTTCGACCATATCGTGCTTTCATATCCTCATTTTGCAAGTGCCTGCTCTTTGTTTTTTGTTCCGTACAAGTCCACTTGGCACCTGCATCCTGAGGACAGGCCTAGGGCTGTTCTGAAGGAGTTGAAATTGAGCTGAAAGGATTCATGAGCAGTCCGTTCATCTTAGATTTGAGACAAGCAGCTCCATTTTATGTTTGAGTACATATAGCTGTTTTTAGAGAATTGATCTTTTTACATACAAACTATTCCTGTCAAATCTTTATTTTGTTCCAATCTTATAAGTTTTAAGTGGCCTCTGATAGACCTGGGAAACACTTAGATCTGGACAAGCCATCTTTTTCCACAAGCAGTTGTCTAAAGAGTTCTTGTCCCTAAAGAGTTAGGGAGCAAAATCTAATGCAGCCTAGAAGTGAATGTGGAGAGGATCAGCAGGCAGTGGAGCTGATGAGCTTTGAGAGGAAACAGTGGAGGATTTTCAGTTGCATCTTCTTTACTGATGACACTTGCATCTTCCAACCTTGCAGACCTACTGAGTGCTCGTAATTCCCTGTTGTGTAGGGACAAATAGAAAAGAAGGAAATTACAAGGTATTTTATATATGCACACAGTATTATTGTTGGCATTGCACCTCTGTAGCATCTGTACTGAAGTAATTACTGGTGAATTATTTATTGATTGATATTATATCCCTCCCTGTGGATTGTCTTCACATTTTGGTGAATTAGTGAGGGTTTTTGTCTAAGCATGGAGTAGCTTTCATCATGTTTAAGTGTTTAATCTCAATGGAATTGGTATCAGAAAAGAGGAGGAACCTGGTCATCATCTTTCTGTTGATAAAGACGTGATGTCTGGGTTTTTAGTAGTGAAAAAATATGGATAGGGCCATGCTTTTCCCAAGCCAATGTGTCAAACCAAAGGGGCTTTTAAAAGGAAATCCTGTGAAGAAGATGGGATGCTGATGACCTGGAAGAAATTATGCACCGGAGAAGAAAGCAGCCTGAAAATGCAGTGACTTGGGCAATAGTACTGGTTCTCTTGTAGGTGAAAGGAGCAGATATTTGGACTTGTCATGAACGTTAATACTATATATGGAAAAGTAAGAATCTTCTTTAATGATTCCTTTGAGTAGAAATATGTTTCGAGGAAGCTGCTGCTGAGCCTTGCTTTACTCACTTGCTGTCATGGGCTCCTAGAAAGGAGACTTCTGTGGGTCCGGGTCCCAGGTGGCTCTATGTGTCCAACAGGTCTCAGCAACTGCAAGCTTCCTATCCTGGCAGGCTGAAGGCTGGAGGCTTAATGACTTTGGTGGTCTGCTTGGTGAAACACAAAGATACAAAGTTCACTTGAGAAATGTAACAAATCTTGATGGTTTCAGCAAATTTTGACCTTCAGAGAGAACTTTTTTTTTCCGTGTTGAGAGTTGATAATGTTTTCTTTAAATATGAAAGGCAGAAAAAGGCTTAGAGTTTTTTATTTTTCTTTGGCTTCAAAGAAATTCTTATGAACTCCTCCCAGAGAGCAGTGAAGTGCTTTAATCCATGGGGTATTGATTTATCTAAGCTTCAAGCCAGGGCATTAGTTCTCTGAGAAAACAGATCTTTGCCCACACATGACTCTAAATATGTACTTCCTGAGGTTAAAGGGTTGAGATGTCTTTAACAGGACGTGCAGTGCTGAGAGAATTAGTAAGGAAATCATACATTTCCAAATGCTTAATACTCAATTTTCAAAACAATTTATGATTCTAGTGATTTACGTAGGGGATTCTGTTGTGTCCCCTGTGGAGTAACAAAATGAGGGGAGAACTCTGAGGTTTGAGTAGATGGTCTGTCAAATCTCCAGATAGGAAGTGTACCAAAATGTCATCAAAGTCCAAATTCTAGAACTATGTAAGAAGTGAGTCAGTGATCAGAAAGCATTCAGTGTTAATAGTTTCTCTATGCAGCTCTTGGGTGCTGTTTACGTGGCACTGTGTTCCCACATGCATGGGTGTTGGAGGTTTTGGTAGGTTCTGTTCTACCTGAACACTAGCTCACAGATTCTCTCTGATCTAAAACTAGCATTTTAAATATCTAATTGTGGCTACATGGTAATTTTTCTGGGTCCTTTCCCAGAGCTAGACATATTCCTTGTTTCTGAAACCAGAATGGGTTTAGTAGCATCTTTTGGAGTGGTTGCACACCAGATTACATGAGTCTGCCATATTGTCTTTTAGAAGGCATTTATTAGAACTTCATTGTTCGTGTCAGTTCTGGTCATGCAAGGGTGTGGAATTCGTGGTTCTGTTTTCTTTTGTGTGGTAGGTTTTTTTGTCTGTTTTAAAACCATGGCTGCATATTTGAGCATTGATTTTCTTTTTTTTTCTTT